CCCGGAGCCAGATGCCTTCAGCAAACTCTGTCTCTGTGGGAAAGTTGCAGACATGGGTGTCTGTGTACATTGGCTGGGTGCCATCCCCCGAGCTGGGTCTGACCTCCCCCTCCCTGAGTGAGGCCCCACTAAATGCCTGATCTGTCTGTCCATTTACAGAGAGCGGGAGGAGGTGGAAGTCCAGGACGCCAAGTCCCGAGCCAAGGCCAACTGGCTAAGAGCATTCAACAAGGTTTGCATGCAGCTGCAAGAGGTGAGTGCGCCCCTCCTGCCCCCACCAGCCGACAGGGGGCTGGCAGGGACCTGTCCAAAGAGGACTTAGACCAGGCAGATTGACGACTTTCCCTCACCATTGCAGCCCTGGGTTGGAATCGGACGGGAGCCGACTCCCGGGGCCATGGGGAGGGGGTTAGCAAAGGCATGGCCTTGTGCAGCCCTGGCTCACCGGGCCTGGTGGGTCCCAGCCGAGGGTGAAAACCCTCCAGCTTCTCCCGTTTGCCCTTGCCAGAGATCATGGGCTCAGGGCCTCCTTGCCATCAGCCGGGCAGCACTGGCCAAGCCACCCTTCATGGAAAGGAGCAAGAGGTTTCTTCATCTAACGAGAACCTGCAGAGCAAGTCCCGGGGCGGCTAGTGCACGGCCCTGGAGTGCTGGAGACTGTTGGCCAAGATGGTGGGTAGGGGAGCTGGGGGAAATCAGGAGGGGGGCTTTGGGCAGAGCTGAGCAAGCCTGCCTGTGTCACCGCATGCACCTGCCCAGCAAAGCACTGAAGAGCTGCGTGTTCCCAGTGAAGTCAGTGGCACTTCAGGCTACGTCTACACAGCACAAGGTGGGCATGGGCCAGCCTCCCTGAATTGGCCTGAATCCAGCGGGCATGGCTACGTGATGACAGCGCCGCACAGGCTTCGGAGTGGGCTAGCGGGCCCAGTGTGGACCCGGAGTCCGCACTGGGCTTGGGATACGCAAGCTGAAGCCCCTGCGGTGCTCTCTTCCGGCTGCCAGCTGCGCTCACCGGATTCACGCTAGCTCGGCTGCTGTGTAGACGTTCCCCTGGCCCCCGAGCAGGACTTCTTCCCCAGGAGAAGGGTAGAGTTCGGAGCTCTGCAGCAGGTGACCTGGCAGAGCTCACTCCCGGCTGTGTCTGGTTCATGTAGACGTTGATCTGTCCACGTGGCTCCCTCCCCCATCCCCACCCCCCGTCGCTTTTATTGAGTTGACCATTTTTTGTTCTGTTTTTAGACTCCATCCTCCATCTTTTCTTTTCTTTTGGTTCCGGATTCGCCCCCTTGGGGCATCGATTCCCCCCCCGCTGCTTCTCTTTTCAGTTGTTCACCACCCTGGCCCTTGTGGCCGCGTCTCCCCTCCCCGCGGGGCAGGGCGGTGGCCCGCATGCAGGTAAGCATGTTCGCTTGAACCCGGACCCGTGCTGCGTGTGCCCATCCTGCTGTGTGTGCGTGTGGGTGCACGTGTGCGCATGTATGTGTGTGCGGGAAGGACGGGGTGCCACACTGAGGGGC